GGACATAGACAGGAGAGAGGGAAGGGGAGCAGAGGTGTCCAATGAAGAAGACCAAGTCAAAAGTTGGTGGTAGGGCAAACTGCTCAGCTGTGGTCATTTATGTATTTATTAGCATTAGCAATAGCAATCTGAAATGGCCTGAAGAATACAGAAGAAAAGGTGTTGTTAAAAGAATGGATTCATTTATGGATATTACCTCCCTGCATCTCTTTTCAAAACGTGTAAGGTCAGCAATGAAAGGTCTAGTGTCACCAAGGCCCTAAGGGATTCTCTACTGCAGCAAATGAGCAAGCTCGGTCACATTTTAGTTGATGCCCCATCCTTTAATGATAGTCATAACAAGTCAGTGCTTGATGCTTAGGTAGTGTTTGGACTTTAGACTATCAAACTGCTTTGTATGCAGCTAATGTTAATAGAGTATTTTTCTACTGTCATACTACCCTGCACATGCCTGATCTTGTCTGGTCTTATAAGATGAGCAGGGCCATCCTGGTTAGTACTTGGAGGGGAGACATTTTATAGCAGCAGTTCTCAACCTGTGGGTCTCGACCACCAGAAAACACACATTTCTGATGGCCTTAGGAACTGAGACATTACTCAGGAGCAAAATTACAGTTACAAAGTAGCAATGAAAATAAATTTATGGTTGGGTGTTCCTAAGATCATTCGAACTATGTGTTTTCTGATGGTAACAACCCATAGCTTAAGAACTGCTGCTTTATAGTATCATCTAGATTATGTTTTTTGTGTTTAAGAGTGTTGACCAATTTCCGATTCTGAAATTATTTGTTTATTTAGTACCAACTTCAAGAATGCAATCATTAAAAAGAATCATGGCATATCTAAAACTTTTTTCATCTGATGTTTGCAGCATACATTAGCCCAGAACACTTTTGAACAATGAGCAGCTAATAGTTTATTTTCTGTTCTGCTGTTTCCAAAATTTTTGTTTGGCGGTAACTTTGAAATTAAACTTTAATAGATTTTTCAAGAGCAGTATTTGATTCACAGAAGAATTCAGTGGAAGGTACAGAAAATGTCCACATCTGTATCCCTGCCCCTGCCTCTGTATGTGGGAAGTCTTCTCAGTTATCTGCAGTCCCCACTAAAATGATGCATTATTATTACAGCTCATGAATTTACACATTTGCACTTTAGGGTTCACCCTTATGCTGTGTATTCTATAGGCTTAAACACATGTAAGACAGCAATATCTAAGATCATAGCATCATACAGAGTCATTTCATTGCCCTAAAATCATCTTTGCTTTGTGTGTTCATCTTTTCCATTCCTCTAACCCCTATTGTTCACTCTAGCCACAGTTTTGCTTTTCCCACCATGCCACGTGGCAGCAATAAGTGTGAAGCTTTTCCAGTTTTTCTTTAAGCTTAGTCATGTGCATTTAATTTCCCTTCGTGTCTTTTAATGACCCAATAGTCCTCTCTCCCTCTTTCTGTAACTTAGGATTTCCAAATGTGGCCAAGGCGACCCTTGAACTTTCTAGTTGTCCATTTTCTACCTCCGAATTGCTAGGATTACATGAGTCTATTATGTCCAGTTTAACGCAGAGCTGGGGACTGAACTCAGGGCTTTGTGTATGCTAAACAAGCTCTCTATCCACTGAGTTTTTTCCTCAGCTCTGATAATTTCATTCAAGCACTGAGTGATATTGTCACTTCCAAATGTGACATAATATATATTTACCTATTTGTTTACTAAAGAATATCTTGGTACTTTCCAAGTTTTGACAATTATGGTGGGAGCTAATTCACATTCTTAGCAGCAATGAATAAGGGCCCCTTTTTCTCTGTATCCTTATCTGCATGTGTGTGGTTGTCTTCTTTTTCTTTTTTGTTAAATTAAAATTTCTATTTTTATTTACTTAAAGTATTATTACATTATTTTCCTCTCCCTCTTCTGCCTCTAATCTGTAATTATTTTCTCAACCATTATCATTCTGAGTAGTGTGAGATTTAATCTCAATATGTTTTTAATTTGCATTTCTCTGATGGTTAGTAATAGTGAACATTTTTCATATGTTTACTATTTATTTTTACTCTTTTTTGAGAATTGTTTGTTCATTTCATTAACTCATTTGTTAATTGGGCCATTTAATTTTAATTTTTTTTTTTTAGTATTTTGTGTGTTAGTCCTCCATTAGATATATAGTTAGCAAAAATGTCTCTCCTATTCTGTAGGCTGCCTTTTCACTCAAATATTTCCTTTGCTGTACAGAAATTTCTTACTTTAATAAAGTCTCTTTTTCAATTGCTGGCTTTATTTCCTGAGTGACTAAAGTCTTTGTCTATTACTATATTTTTAATGTTCCTTCTACCTTTTCCTCTAACAGCATGTCTTAGGATTTCTATTGCTGTGAAGGTACACCATGACCATGGCAAGTCTTTTCTTTTTTAATTTATTTTATGTACTTTGGTGTGAAGGTGTCAGATCCCCTAGAACTGGAGTTATAAACAGTTGTAAACTGCCATGTGGGTTCTGGGAATTGAACCCAATTTCTCTGGAAGAGCAGCCAGTGCTTTTAACCACTGAGCCATCTCTTCAGTCCCGCCATGGCAACTCTTAATAAGGAAAACCTTCAATTGGGGCTAGTTTACAGGTTCAGTGGTTTAGTCCATTATCATCATGGTGGGAAGCATGGCAGTGTGCAGGCAGACATGATGCTGGAGAAGGAGCTGAGAGTTCTAGATCTGGATCATCAGGGCTGTAGAAAGGGGGAGTGACACTGGGGCTGGCTTGAGCATTTGAAACCTCAAAGCCCCCCCCCCCCAATGACACACTTCCTCCAACAAGGCCACACCTCCTAATAGTGCCACTCCTTATGAGACTATGGGGGCCATTTTCATTCAAACCACCACACAGCAGCAGAGCTTCAGAGCTCATGTAAATGTCTGCTCCATTTGAAGTTGATTCCTGTAAGAGGTGAGAGATTGGAGACTGCTTTGGTTCATCTACATATGGATATCTAATTTTTGCAGCACTATTTTTTGACAAGGTTATCATAGTCCAATATGTATTTTTGGCATATTTGTTAAAAGTCAGGTGGCTGTATTGCCAAGGCTATTGGTTCATCTCCACAAATTGAAGATAAGGCTGTATTGCTGAAGACAACGTCTATGTAACTCATTGAACATGGAGAAGTCAAGTTGGCACCTACCTAGAACCTTCACCTCTGTTGACTAGTGTTCATGTTACTGGAAGGTACTCTGCATGCTACCACAGGAAACAGTAACTCCTAATGAAATGTCTCCATCAAATCCCTCCTCCCAAAGCTCAGGTGTCTCTGCTGAAGAGGAGGCTGAAAGATTGCAAGAGCCAGTGAGGATGGAAGACAACAAGGAAACAGTGCCTTCTGGACACAGAATGACTGCCACACATATGAACTCACAGAGACCATGGCAACATGCACAGGCTACACAGGTCTAAGCCACATGGGGTCCCAATGCTGAGGGAGGAAATGGACAGATCCCCACCCCTAACCCAGAAGCTATCTCCAACTGATAACCACTCACAAAGGAAAATTTAATTTTCTCCAATGGAATCTCACTGGGTATACAAACCACACTTAAGAGTGGGCCCCATGTCCAGCAGTTGATGGCCAACAGAACATAAACTCAATGGTATTTTTTTTTTTTTTTTTTTTTTGTGTGTGTGTGTGTGTGTGTGTGTATGTGTGTGTGCCACAATGCTTTGTTTGGGCATTTCTTTTCCCTTACAGGTCTTTTGTTTATGTATTATGGTTTCTGTGTTTGTGTTTTTATAGGATTTCTGTGTGTGCAAGTATGTGTGTCTCTGTGTCTGTATGTGTTTCTTATGTTTTTTCTTTGGCTCTTTTTCCCTCTGTTTGTTTATTCTGTCCTGTTTTGATTTGTTTGTTTTTATTTTATCTTACTTTATTACAACCATTAATTTTTAGATGCCCGATGTTTGTTTTCTAATGAGAGAGAGCAGGAAAGGGTGTGGATTTGGGTAGGTGGGAGGATCTGGAGGGAGTTGGGGGAGGGGAAACCATAATTAGAATCTATTTTGTGCAAAAAAAAAAAACTACTTTCAATTAAAAAATCAGGTGGCTGTAGAGTTGTGGTTTACACCTATGTCCTCTATTCTGAAGAAAGGAAAGAAAGAAGAAATTTCTTCTTCCTTCCTCAGCCTCCCCTTTCCCAGCACCCTCTCCTTTCCAGTCCACTGTAATCCCACTTCTGTTTTCAGGTCTGTGGGTTGTATTCTGCTTTCACATGTGTAACATGTGTTACTTATCTTGATGTACCTGGATTATTCTGCTTAATAGCACACCTTCTAGTTCCATTCATTTTTCCAGCAAATGACAGGCTTATTTTTCTTTGTTTCTTTTTATGTGAATTTATCCTCAAATTCACTTTGTGGCCAGCTGCTCTGACATTCATGATTCTCCTGCTTCCCACACTGTGTGGGCATGCCTGGCTTGGGACTACTATAGTTGTGAGAAAATCTACAGAACTCAAGGAAGGAATACAAATAGGTTCCAGGGACTGTATAACAAGAAAGTGGACAGAGGAAAGGACACATACCCTGTTCCTACCTCTGTTCTGCTTCACTTCCGTTGTTCATTCTCAAGGTAGAAAGTAGGAGGAAAGAGAGAGGGTGAACTCTTTGTGCTTCTGTTTCTTCAGTTCTTGAGAGAGGCTCTGTTTCTTCATCTGTGTGAAGTGTTAATTACTGGACCAAATGTCTTTAACTAGGGGTATGGTATCTGGAGAAAGGAGTTTAATCAAGTCAGCTCATGTGGTATGCCTACACTGGACCTGCCAAGGGGCTGGAAGAAGAAAGGCAGGGCTACCCTACAAACTATTTGACAAAATAAGGTCACTCATAAGTGGGAAATAATAGATTAATATCTTATAAATGTTATTTTCAAGATGTTGACATATCAGTGATGATAAAACTTAGATTATTATCTTAAAATCATCTAAATATTTGAGCACTCTTATTTAAATATTTTCTAGAGTCAAGATGTATGAATGGGACTCAAACAGCACAGAACAGTTCATCACCTTTGCCAGAAGGTACTACTCTTCTTTATCTTGTGGACAACACTGTGGGAATGGAGAGTTGAACCTCCTTAGAAACAGTAACTAATGCTTTGCCTGCTGGACAGATTCAGGAGGAGTGGAAGGATCTGGTGATATGAGGGTTATGGTACGAGGGACCCTGAATTATTGCCTCTAAACCTTAGCTGTCTTAGAGTAAAAATGGCTATGGGTTTAGCACCCTCCCAGGTCTGTGTTGAAGAACTTTTCATCATCTAATTAGATGACTTTTATTTGGATGTGATTTGTGAGAACTTAAGGATCCCAAAGAGGCAAGTGACATAGAAATAGGATAGTTGAAATACTTAATACAATGTTGATCAGAAGCAAGGCTTATTCACAGCAATTTCGGCTCCTGTTAAAGTGATGATATTATTGACCTTTTGTCCCAGGTGATTGTAACAGATAATTTTGTTGAGTAATCATCACTCAGCAAATGCATGTCCGTCATGGATTCTTTAAGTCAGTGTACAGGCAGTGTGAGGTTTTATTGTACAAAATATATGTAACCCACAGGCCTTGAATTTTTACTTTAGAAGGTGAATGATGTATTTAATTCTGATAGATTGAACATATAGAAACAAGAAATGTGAGAAAAATCAAACATTTGTGGGATACACTCATTAACCAACCAATGCTCTAGTGTAACTTCATACATGCTGCTGTGGTTGGATTAACACAGATTTCCTCTTGTTCTCTTTGTGTGTGTGTCCAGCTAACATTACAGTGTCTGTGCAGATGGGTACAAAGGCTCCACTGTGCTGCCCTCATATTTCACTGACAAAAGCAGTACTAATAACATGGGAAATAACTACAAGAGACCAGCCTTCCTGCAGAATATCCTACAGAGTAGAAACCAAGGAGACCAATGAAACCAACTGTACAGACAGGAGAATCACCTGGGCCTCCACACCTGACCAGAGTCCTGACCTCCAGATCAGTGCAGTGGCCCTCGATCATGATGGGCATTACTTATGTTTTATAGCAACACCTAATGGGAATTTCCAAAAGAGACATGACCTCCAAGTTCTAGGTAAGCAACAGTGTCACACATTGTGGTATTTCAGGTCACCAGATTTTAGATAGAAACAAATATCTTTGTAATCTGTGACCAGACTGAATCCTTTTTCCCCTTCTATCTCCACAGTCCCTCCTGAAGTAACCCTGTCTCCAGGGAAAAATAGAACTGCAGTTTGTGAGGCGACTGCAGGCAAGCCGGCTGCTCAGATCTCCTGGACTCCAGATGGGGACTGTAAAACTAAGAAAGAATCTCACAGCAATGGCACCGTGACTGTCAGGAGCACATGCCACTGGGAGCAGAGCAATGTGTCTACTATGTTCTGCTTTGTCTCCCATTTGACTGGCAACCAGACTTTGTCCATAGAACTGAATCAAAGTGAGTATCCTTTAAAAAAAAAAGAATAATTGATAGTTAACATACTCACCTCTTTAATTTTTTGCCTGTATTTATGTATTTGTTTATGTATTTATTTATGATGTATTTATTTATGTATTTATTTATGATGTATTCATTTATGTATTTATTTATGATGTATGTATTTATGTATTTATTTATGTATGTATTTATGTATATATTTATTTATGTATGTATTTATGTATGTATTTGTGTATTTATTTGTGTATTTATTTATGTATGTATGTATTTATGTATTTATGTATGATTTGTGTATGTATTTGTGTATTTATGTATGTATGTATGTATGTATTTATGTATGTATTTATGTATGTATGTATGTATGTATTTATTTATTTATTTATTTATTTATTTATTTATTTATTGTGTTTGTGCATGTGCCATAGAAAGTACATAGAGGCCAGAGGACAACTTGTTCTTCTACCATATGGAATAGAACTCTAATCCTCAGGCTTGACAGCAAATGCTTTTACCAGCTGAGCTATCCACAGGCCCATCTACCTCTGTTTCTTTTTTTCTCTTTATCACTTTCTTCTTCTGAGATTAGATCAGATCTATCTTTGCAGCCAAGACTGGCCTTAAATTCATGGTCTGCTTTGTCTGCTGCCTGAGTGCTGGGATTACAGAGGATCTGTTTCTTCCTTGTGAGGGAACTGGCATTTAACTTATTCTTCAAGTAGTAGGTAATGAATAACCAGACACGGAAGGCAATTTGAGCTGCTCACTTGGACACTGCTCTACTGCTAGGAAATGCATTGTTGTGCTGGAGAGGTATTTTGTAACTTTGTATCAAGTTGGAAGAATTGCCAGTACTAAGTACTTCTTGTCTGCACTTCCCTAAATGCCCTGTTATTAGGTTCACCATAAAATATTTTCGTACTTCTATGATGTGTAGACTTTAATGCTCAGATTATTAATATAATACATTAATGTTCATGGCATTGGTATTTCTTCTCTTCCTGATTTCCCTTTTTCTCACAGTTGACCAAAGTGAGAGCCAGGTTTCCCTGCTCATTTTGTCTTGTCTTCTGAAGCCAGTATTTATTGGAAATTATGTGTACATTTGAAGCTCAATGATACATTGATAAAATGAGAACCTCCCCTGCTTTCTATTGAGTTGCAGAATACAATATGGCAGTTAGGAGCAAAGTCTTTGCACACCATGGCTTCTCATTCACAGCTGTATAAATATGAATATTATTCAAAATGTTCTGACTTACTGGGTAATCTGCCAGTCCCTTCCTTTTTCTTTCTGAAGAAACAGGGTGGCTTAGTATACTGCAAAGACAGCAAATAACAGAAGAATGTCCTACATCATTTTTTTCCTTAAAGACATCTCTTATTTTTTTCCCTTTTTGAATCAACAAAGGGATTGACTTTTATTTTGTCTCTGAAAGTTATGAAACACATTTTAAAGTTTTTCTTCTTACAATTTATTATTTTATGATATATATACATATATATGCATGTATGTATATATATATTACTTTGTTCATATTCCTCCCATTATCCCTTCTTATCTCCTTCTATTGAACCTCCTTTCCCAGCATGCTCCTTTCTACTTCTTTCATTTTTTTTTGGTGTTTGTGGCACATTATGTTAATTCGGGTTGCTTGCATGAGGGTGGATGGGGATTATGTAGTTGAACAACTTATGACCTCTCCCCCATCAGTGGTGGAATGTTGAAGAGTTCAGTCTTGTACAGCTCTTGTACATGTAGCCACTGCTGCTGTGAGTTCAACACCCACTTCATGCCTGGAGGACAGTGTTTTGCAACACTCCTTCCCATCCTCTGGCTCTTACCTTCTTTCTGCCCCTCTTCCTCTGTGCTCCCTGGACCTAGGATGCAGTGATAGAGATACAGTGTTTGGGACTGAACATTATTCCATTTAACTTTGATTTATTCTCACAACCTTGAGCAGTTATGGGTCCCTGCATTAACCATTACCCATTGCAAACAGAAGTTTCTATGACCAAGATCAAAAGCAGCATCAATCTCTGAGTGTAAAATAAATATTTAGAAGACAGCGTAACACCATGTCCATTTAGCAAAGCAACAGTAGGCTCTCCCTCACCCCAGGGCTCATGATCTTCCTGACCACCTGCTTTTGAGCATGTTTCAGTACCAGACATGAAGTCCTCCGTTTCATCAATGAAAAATATCCTACTATCAGGATTTATTACCTTTGAACCATAACATTTCCTGTCTGTCATTACAGGTGGCAAAGCATCACAATCTTATATTCTGTACGTCATCCCATGTACTACTATTATTATTGTTTTGATCATCATAGGATGCATTTGGCTTTTGAAAATCAGTGACTTCAGGTATTAACTGACAATTTTTTTTCTTCAATCTCATTGGACTAGAAAAGGCTGAGAAATGTGGGGCTGACGGGTCCATTGGGGAGTAACAACCATGTTCTCATAAGCAAAAGGGATGCATGAAGTGTTAGGCTGGGACACTTTGCTTGGTGACAGTGTTTAATGAGTTGCTCAGGTGTGTAGGCACCATGAATTAAGTCAGTAAGGGCTGAGAAGCTGGGCATGCTATTTTTTTTTAATTTGAGAAAATAACTACAATAATTATTTTCATGTAACAAAGAAATTGAGTCACATATATTTTATTTCATGAAGCTCCTATCTCAAGATTTTGCTTTTCTGCCTAAGAGCCAGAATTTTTTATTTGTTATAGTAAGTGCAAATCAGTGTATTCCATTCATTTCTGGTAGTTCATTTTTGATTTACTGAGACTTACATAATAGTTATCAGAGTATTTCGGTACTACAATTGTTTATCCTGAACAATGATGCTGCCTGCATTCACTCCAGATTTTTATGTTATTTTTTAGAAAATGTAAATGGACAAGACCAGGAGCTTCTACAGTTGTTGAGGAGGTAAGATAAATTAAAGGATATTTGCAAACTTTAAAGCCACATGGTCTGAATTCTAGCAACATAATCTGTAATTTGTATTAATATTCATGTTCTAGTTGAACAAAACAATGCTGATTTTACACTGTTAGTAGTCAGACACACTTAGTTCACTAATTACCCATCAAATACTATGTATATGCTACTCAGATACACCTTTTCACCTGATAAATTGTATCTTCATCACTTTTGCCCTATTTGGACTGTAATCTCTGGGGAAATCAAGTGGGTGTTTCCTTCTCCAGGAACTTGTGTCTAATTCTCGACTTCCCCTTTTCAGCACCACTATCATTTTTCTCTTATCTAAACTTAAAACACCTTGCCCCTTAGTCTCCTACAACCAACTTCTTATTGTCTTTGATTCATCCATTTGAAGTACTTCTCACATCACCACATCCCTCTACATTTCTATTTCACCCAACAGCTGTGTCACCCAAAATATAAATAATCAACAAATGCTTTTTGATAGACTATTAGAACAAAGCCTTGTTCTTCTGTTCATGTAAGTCAGAGACACATGTATAAGCATTGCTAGTAGATGCTAATATGGCAGAAAAATGGGTTATTTGGGTAATAATTTCTGGCTCTTTTGAATGGATTTTGACTTTGAGCTTTTCCCAAGGATGACATGCAGCCTTACGCCAGCTACACGGAGAAGAGCAATCCACTCTATGATACTGTGACCAAGGTGGAGGAGGCATGCTCAATGCCACAAGGTGAAGTCAATGGCACGGACTGGCTTGCTTTATCAGCCACTGGAATCTAGAACCAAGAAAAATGAATCAAGAGACACCATAATTACTGTTTTGCTTTCCTTAAAATTCTACAATGGAAGGATTGCTTGGAAACTTGCTCTTCAAAAGTTCTTAGAAAGCACAAATGTTCTAATGGATTTGCATTTGTATTCTTCTATGGTTGGAGGCTTGGAATCTCTGCTGCTACCAGTTAGTTCTTTGAAGAACTGATGTAATTATTTCAAAGAAAGCACAAGGTTCTTATACAATATCACATTGTGCAATATAGTGTGATGAAAACTGAGTTTCCTCAAGAAATAACTGCAGAAGGAACAATCATTACTAAAGAGTTTCTTATGAATTCTTCCAAAATTGTTTCTCTGTATATGACATAGCTATGGTATATGTATGCATTTATGTTTATTTACATATGTGTATACATGCACACATCACCTTGTCAAGACCGCTCCTTGTCAAAACATACTGGAATGCTGGACTTACAAAAGTTAATAATGTGAGTCTTGGAAACCTTTTTATAACAGCATAAGCAAAACTACCTCATTCTTTTTAATGTCTACGTAAAATTCCACTGTATGATTATATTGTAATTTAATTAATCATGGCCCTTGGATGGGCATTTAGATTTTGTTTTGTGTGTGGTATTAAACAATACCAAGTAGAATGTTTCTTATGGATAATCTCTGCATTCTTTGAGCACATAGCGAGATAATTTTTTGAGAGTAATGGTCCTGCCAGTTGGAATGTGTTTTTTATTATTAATAGATCAGTCAAATTGTGTCAATTGACATTCCCTCAAATTATGTTTGAATGTGCCTTTCTCCATATTCTTATTCTTGTTTCCTTAACTTTCTCACTCCCACAGTTTCTATTTTTCAGTTTTAATTAACTAGTTGGGGGATAAGTCTTAAGATTATGATATTAACTCTATTATTTAATGAAACTGGAATCATGTCTTTGTCAGGTCTGCAAGAGAGAGACAGCATTTGAGGGACAGTATTTTCACCTCCTTGTATCAATACAGAAATGCTGACATCTCATGCATGACAGTTTTACAGATGTGATGAGCTGTGCATTTTAACACTCTATTCTGATACATTTATCAAATAGCAAGTGTCTGTAAGTGGGACAACGGGGTTATTTACACGCTAAAAAGATGGCAATGGGATGATATAACTTTCTCCTTCATTTTTTGTTTACAGGGAGATATGGGGAATATATATATATATATACATACATACATATATACATATACATATATATATAATTTTTAACATCTTTTATTGTTAAAAATAAGCTTGTTCCCCTTTATATTAGGAAAAATATTTAGGATGGATTTTTTTTGTCTTATTTTATCTGCTTTGTTTTTTTTTGAAACAAGGCCTTGATGATTTCTAAGGTAGTTCCTCAACTCACCATACAGCCCAGGCTGGCTTCCCAAGGGCTGTGATTACAATTATGTGGCAACATACATGCAAAAATCATCTTCATATAATAAAATGATAGAAATTATAACAAGACTCATTCACTCTTCACATATCCCAATTGAGACATTTAAGGTAATTCGTTTGTATACTCAAGTATTTTCTTTTTTCTTTCTGGAAAATTATCTCTCTTTTCTTTCTTCCTATTTCTCCCTACTTCACCGCACTACTTTGAAAGTTATGCATTATAACATACATGTATTAGTGGCTATGTTTTATTTATGAACATCTAAAAAAGTGGTATCAAAGTATTATTGAAATTTAAAGTTTATTCTTTTATAAAATTTTTTATTAAATGTTTTCATTTATTTTACATACCAACCACAGTTTCCCCTCCTTCCTCTTCTCCCGTTCCCTCTCTCCACTTCTCATCTACCCCTCCCCCATCTACTCCTCCTCCTCTGTTCAGAAAAGGGCAGGCTCCGACGGGAATCAACAAAGCATACTATATCAAGTTCTTGGTCCTGAGGCAGGACCAAGCTCTTCCCCCTGCATCAAGACTGGGGGAGGCATGGGGAACAGGTTCCCAAAAGCCAGCTCATGCGTCGGGACAGGTCCTGACCCCGGTACTAGGGGCCCCACAAATAGACCAAGCTACACAACTGCCACCCACATGCAGAAGGCTTAGGTCATCCCATGCAGGCTCTCTAGGCTTTATCTTTATATTAGTCAGGCTTTTCTAGTGGAACAGAACCAATAGAAGGAATATATATGATTTATTAGATGGTTAATTCTCATACAGGAGAAACAGAGACTCTAATAATTGCTCAGTTCATGAGCCTGGCTTTCTCAGCGGTCCCAAACTGTTGCTGAAGGCCTGGAATATTCCGGGAGAGCCACCAGTCTTCAGTCCATGTCAAAGAGCCGCAGAAGCTGAGTCCCGACGTCAGTGAAGAACGAAACAGCAGGAGCAGCTGCTGCACAGGGTCAATTATGGAAGAAGTGCTTCCCTTTATTTGGTCATCTAGACATTCTCAGGCCATGTTGGCCTTGGATTACCACGTGATCTAGTAACAGACCTGGGTGTTATGCAGACACACGGAATTCAAGTGTTGTGGATGCTGCCACTCGGATGTAAGGGAAAGCCTGGGAGGCATCAGCTTCATTAAGAATATTGGCTTATAGTTTTCCTTTCTTATGATGCCTTCAGTTTTAGTATCAGTGTGAAATGGAACTGGAAAAACTGTATGGATTTGGGTAAGGGGTTGGAAGACTTGGTACTTGTTATTCTTCAAATGCTAGAAATTTTCAGTGAAGCCCTCAGGTCCTGAACTCCTATTTATTTTGTTTTGATGGGGAGTTGTTCATTACTGATTTAATCTTATCCCTAATTGTATTTGTCCAAACTTTTTATTTACTCATAATACTTCTTTGTGGGCAGTATGTTTCTGAGATTCCCTACTTCTTTTCAGTTATCTGGTTTGTGGTTTGTAATTATTCGTGGTAGTCTCAATGATACTTTAACTTTCAATTTACTATTATTACTATTACATCAATAGCTGTACAGTACTATACAGACAGGGCATCACTATGTTGCCCTCTCAATGCTCTTACCTCCATCTTCCAAGTGCTGGGATCACAGATGTGAACCACTGTTCCTGGCATTTTTATGGTGTTTTTGTTTCTATGATAACAACTGTAATGCTTCCTCTTTCATTTTGGCACTATCTATCTGTATCTCTTATCTCCTTTTTCTTGATAAATATGCAGGTCTTAATTTTGTTTATATATATATTTAAAAAAAATCCAAATTTTAGTTTCATTATTTTTTTCCTGTTATTTTCTGTTCTCCATTTTCCTTCTTTCCTTCATTCCTTCTTGAGCCTGGGCCTTATCCGTGCTATGCAAGCACCTGCCTTTAATCTACATCCCCAAGGCTTCTCATCCAGTCCTTATTGTTTCATTTCCTATGTTAACTTTCGGTTTAGTGTTTTCCTTCTTTTTCCTGCTCTTTGAAACATAGTTACATTTTTCATCTGATATTTTTAAAATATAGGTATTTATCATTATAAACTTTAAACTTAAAATGTCATTTTTAATTTTTCTTTTTAATTTACTCTTTAATCTACCAGCTGTTCAAAAATGTGTAAAGTTCCACACACTTGTGAAAAATTTCCTCAACACAGAAGAATTAGTTGTATATTTATACCCTGATAACAATCCACCTGGAAAGGAAATTGAAAAGTAAATTTTATATGCAGTAGTATCAAAGAGAATAAAGTCCTCAGAAGTAATTTTAGTTAAGTAGAAAAATACTAAAAACTACAGAACACTGATGAAAAAATTATGATTTAGACAAATGGAGACATTTTGTTTATTCATAGATTGGAAAACTTATAGTTGTGGGCCAAAGAATCTACAGGTTCAATACAATCTCTATCAAAGTCACAATGACATATTTTTATAGAACAGAAATTTTGCTGAAATCCATTTGGACCTATAAAAAATTTAGACTAGCCAAACCATTATAAATAAAAAGCGAAACCTGGAGGCACCACACTTACTTATTTCAACATGCATTAGAAAGCCACAGTAACTGAATTGCACACGATTGCTATAAAGGCAGATGTATATAAACTAGAATAATGTAACAGAGGCAGCAGAAATAAATCCATGAATATTTTAAAGATTTATTTTTACTTATGTGTAGGTGTGTGTGTGTGTGTGTTGGCATGTGGGCATGTGGGCATGTGGGTATGTGCACATGACTGCAGGTGCCCTTGGAAACCAGAGGCATCAGATCTCCTGGAGATGGAACTGCAGAAAGTTGTGAGTTGTCTGACTGTGTACTGGGAACTTGGGTTTTCTGCACGAGAACCTTTCCCTTAAGTAACTGCATTTTGTAATCTCCTGTAAGAGCAGCAAGTGCTCTCAACCACTGGACTATCTTTCCAGTCCCAAACCCATACATATTTATGTTAACTGACCTCTGACAAGGGTCTAAAGAATACACAATGGAGAAAGGATAGACTCCCCCAACAAACAGTATTGGAGAAGCTGGATATCCACATGCTATGTCAAATCTGACCTCTGTGTTACCATGCATGCAAAAGTCAATTCAAAACTCTGGGTGGATGAGGAAAATAAGGCACATATGAATCGTCCTTTCACCAAACACTGCCGCTTTGACCATCAAAGCACTGAAGAAGTAGTCTATCTCATGGCAGAGATCAGCCCTGGTGATAACCTCTAGACTGGAGAACTAAATGTAGATATCATATTGACTTTTTTCATAATAAGATAATATCAATTGCTCCTTTTGGCTAACCAGTGTTAACCATGGGGGTTCGGAGGGTGCCACAGGATAAAACTAGAGGATGAGACTACTTCCTGTTTAGGATGCTGCGAAAACAATGTGTGAGCACAAACTTCAGCCTGTGGGTATGTGTCCTCAGTCTTCATCTTCACATTCCACAACGAAAACCTGTTTGTGGCAGGAGACAGCGTATGCTAAATTGCTATAGCCGGAAAAACATCGAACAGAGGAAGAGGGTGAAATACAAAGTAGGAAGAGGTTAATGCTGATATTTGGATGGAGAATTACTTCTATTGCAGTCTTCCGATAGATCATACAATCCAAGCTTGTCAATCCTAAACACATGTACATACAGGTAACATTAAGTGGACTCAGTAGGTAGGTGCATGTGTGTGTGTGTGTGTGTGTGTGTGTGTGTGTGTGTGTGTGTGTGTGTGTAACAACAGTAATTAAAGAAAAAGAGGTCATGAAATTCAGAGGGAGTGGGAAAGCAGGAGAGATGCTGGCAGGGCAAGAGGAAGGGGTGGGAATGATGCAAATTCATTACTCATATATGAAATCCCCCCAAATAAATATTTTATTAGTTTACAAAACAATAAACGTCCATAGAGGCTTTCCATGGTTCTTTCATTTTGTTTGATTCTCTGCCCCCCCTTTCCCTGCTGTACCTTTGTCCCGAGTGTCCCCTTCCTTCAGGTGAAGCTCTTCAATGGCACTAACCCCATGTCAGCACAGAACAGCAATGTTTGCTGTCAGCTATTCTCTCTGGAGATGTCCTTGCATCTCTCACTTCCTCAACAGGTCCTGTCCTAACCTATTACCTTTCCCTTGGATCATAGCAAGAGACCCCTCCAACCCATAGCCCTACATCTAGTCTCTTTTTAAGAGTCATCCTTCAGAATACAACCATATATCCTTATAGATTATCCCATCAACACCCACGTTTGCCAAACTCCCCAACAGCCAGCTCTCCATTTGCTGTGTATTGGATGATGTGTGTATTTCTTATCTTCCCCCACTCTGCTGTTCCCGCATGTGCTCTTCTCACGCAACCCTATGGAGGCATGCTTCTAGACTTTGTTCGTGCTGGGTTTCTGGGTAAGCTTGTGTCAAACAGCTCTTCAGTCATCTCAGAACACTGCTCAGATAACCCAAACTTGGTCATTTATGTTCTACCCGTGTCAGATGGTAGTGCTGCCTCTTTGGACAGAATGACATCCAAAGTAAACAATATGTTTATTAAATTACTAGTGAGTAAAGAAGAGATCTATGACATGGTTGATTGCTTTACTTATACAGATGTTCACAATGAAAGTAATATTTGCATCCGGTGGATCAATGAAGAACACTGCTTTGTATTTATTTTTATGAATTTCTGTATTTCTATGTGTGTGTGTGTTTTCATGTATTTGTGCATGCATTTATGTGTGGGTTCACACACACATGTATGTGTGTGCATGGAGAAGCCAGAGGCTATGATCAGGTGTCTGTTTCAATTGCTTCTCCAGCATATTTTTGGAACGAGGTCTCTCGCAGAACCTGGAGCTTACTTTTGGCTAGATTGGCTGGCCAGCAAGCCCCAGATCCTCCCATCTCTACTTCTCCTGCACAGACAGTGCACATGCACAGAACTCCATCTGTGCTTTCCTTTTTCTTTTTTAACATGGTTGCTGGGAATCGTAACTCAGCTCTTCAGGCTTGAATAGCAAGCATTTTTACCAATGGAACCATCCCCTCAGTGCCCATTTTTATGCCTTTAAAGTGTTCCAGGTAAGAATGTGTTGAACAGTGCTCCCTAA